TAGATTTATTAAGAAGAATAATAAAAACTGTACGTATGCATATACACTTTTTCATCTAAATAACAGGAAATATCTGCCTTATTATCCATAACTTAGCAAAAAATCTGAAAAATCGGTGAAATATAACTAAATTGTTAAAGAAATCACAGTCCAAACGCTGTGCTGCGACAGCAGGGCCGTGTGTAATTAGCTTTTAACGAAACATAATCTGCTGTAGCATCGTTTTTCTCTGCTTCATGTGATTCACACGTTTTCACCTCAGACCTCCGTCACACAGACTCCTGCTGAAGATCATCCCTCCTGCTGCACAACATTCAGCGTTTTTACACGTCTGTCCGCAGCATCTTTCTCCAGCTCGCGTGCAAACCCAGCAGAGGCTGAGCTGTGTGGTTCTGTATGAGAATACAATCTGCTGCGAGGCTCTAACCTGAGACAGGAAGTGATGGGGGAGGGCTGAGCGCTGTAAGTGGTGTCTGAATGTCCTTTCACCTCACCCACTCTCCCTCCATGCAGCTTATTTCCATCCCACCGAGGCGTTTAACTCTCTACCTGTCCGTCCATCTGTCTGCTCCTCTGCGCCCTCCCAGTGCTCTAGTTTTTGTGTATTTTTTTTTGTGCTCGTCCTCCTTCCTCATCTGTTTACTGTAAAATCATTCCTGCTTCCTCTCCCATCTGTGACCCCTGATCCGATCTGTTCTCTCTGCTTTTTCTTTCTATCTTCTGTCTCTCTCAGTCATGTTTGCTGCTCGCGTTGTCGCTTTCCACTCGGAGAAATTTTTAACAGAAAATGAAAGAGGAGCATGAATGGCTTAAGTAAAAAAACACACTCATGCGTTTGCTTTAATATAAATGCAGTCTATTTTAAAGTCACGTTCGTCAATTATAGTAGAAGTGTCAGATAAAATGATGACACAGATAGCGTGCTGCTGTTAAACTGGGATACAATGCCCTGTATTGATCCAACACTGCCCACTGTAGTGTTTGGTTTCAGCTGAAACGCCACAGTTTACTCACACATGGCAAAGCCCGTCCATGAAAAGGTGATTTAGTCACAACCTCAGCTTTTTGGGGCTCCTATTGTCGGAAACAATTCTGTTACAGTAGTTTTTTAAAAAAAATCCAGTTATTTCAGTGATTTTTCAAAAGCAGATGCTGATTTTATTTTTATTATTTTTGTTGTTGGATCATTTAATAATAAGAAAGGGTTATTTTTAGGGAATGAATATGTTATTTTGCAGAGCACTATTCCATATAGCAACAATAATACAGAGAATAAAAAAATGAAGGTTTAGTTTTGCATTTGAAACTGGACATAATGGGTGAGACGTGAATCTGACCAGTAACAGTCACAAGGTAGTCGGCCCTAAAACATACACTTCTTTCTCATCCATTTTCTTCTAAATTGGAGCATAGTTTTCAAAATCAACATCATTCTATAATGAAGGAGACTTGAAATTACTCATTGAAACCACAAACTCATTGGTAAAATGTTTACTGAGGTAATAAATCAAATGAGAAGTCAGCTCATTTTCTCATAGACTTCTATACCATCACACTTCTGGTTGAAACCAGAGGAGTTGCCCCCTGCTGGCTGTTAGAAAGAATGCAGGTTTAAGTCTCAGAACAAGAGGAGATGTCAAGTTGTTTTGTCTAAATCTGTCTGTTACTGTAGCAAAATGACACTGAGAATAAACACTGAGAGTTTCATCTGATGCCCAAAGCAACGGAAACCTTGATAACAGAAACATAAAAACTCTTTAGGTTGTTCGTCCCTACCTGGTGACTACAACTATCAATATGGCAGGTTAGGTGTAAGGAAGGGAAAGGGTTTGGATTAAAACAGAGGACCTTTGTTGGTGTGATTACTGTCATGTTAGAAGAACTGTTTACTCTTCAGTTTAATGTCCATGTTAATGACCCATCCATCCACCCTGAGCTCCTCCCTACACAGAC